TACGGGTTCTTTACAATGAAGTCTGGCATTTACAAATAAGATATAAAGGTTCTTCTGCTTTGTAACATGAGGTCTTTAATAGCTGCAGAGCTGGAAGCCTTAATGAGGCCATGACCTGCTGCTTTGCTTCCTTCCCATTTTCAATGGTTGGCTCTGTTGCTTTGTTTTAGCATAGCCAGCATCACACATCCTCTTGTTGCTTTATTATTGAACCTTGTTCAGAAATTCCCAGGGTATGTCTGAGTGAGGAACAGGCAAAAGAGAAATCCAGAGAAGTAGAAATGCCTGGATTGGTGCATTTAATTGACCCCATGAGCCAGTGGTTGGAGAAAAGGATGATCACTGTGTTACAGAGTTATGGAGGAGAGGGTGGTGGGAACCAGCCAGGAGATGAAGGTGGTGAGAGAATTCCTCTTGCTCTTCGTCAGCACAGCCTGTCCAGAGGAGAACAAAAAGGGATGCTCCCTGGAGCTTTGCTATGGAGCTAATCCTGCAAGGTGCTGAGCTCCCTTAACTCCCAGCTCAGTAATGCAGGAGAATTTCAAGGCAACACAGTAGGTTAATGCATTAGGGCTCTTGCTCTTGGATTCAAATCTTAATCAGCTCACAGAGAGGAGGGACGAGATGTTGCATTAGCCATGCTGCCCTGCTGTGAAGTGTATATATTATCTGCTGCATGCCCCATTGAGCATCTCCGCATGGTTGGAACCACGGGAGCTGCCCTGGGTCAGGCCTGTGGTGCCCTGGTTGCAGGACATGTGCCTGTGGTCGCCCCCCTGGGGCTGGGCTGCCAAGCAAGAGGTTGCCAGTTGTGTCTGCTGGCTGTGTGCACTTTGTGATGGAAACTCGTCTGGAAAGGAATCACATGGGTGATGCAGCTTTGGAGCATCTCACATCAGGTGCTCTGCTCATCGCCAATGGAGAGCTGGTTTCTCGCTGTGGATGCCGTAGTTGCTGTAAAGCCGTGGCATTGCCTTTGTCCCAAGAGTCTGAGCATTACCATGAGGATGCTTCAGGAAATAATGAGAGGGTACAGTAGAGTTGTATGGTTGGAAACACATCTGTTCCACAGCCAGCTTCCTAGAAGGAAAGAAGCCTGGACTACATAACCTCACCTACTGTTTAGGAAATAATAATTACTACGCTTGCTTTTTCTCTGTTGTTTTTACTCTCATGCAGGTGTCTCAGCTTCCCTGCATGGCCAGAAGTCTCTTACATGGTGAAAAGGTTTGATTTAGTTAAAGATGTCTTTCAAAGTCTTCTGGCACTTCACAGACAGCCTGAAATAAATATGAATAAATCAGCGTCACTCTTGTGAGGCCAGCAGTACCTTGCAGATTTCCCCAGAGGCAGACCAAGCCTGCTCTTCTGAGAAACAGCCTTGCACGTCTCTCTGCTCTGCTCATTTCAGTGCATGTTTCAATGAAAGGAGATCTCTCCCCCTTCAGTGTTGGTTTTCTTCCTACTGCTTTTGCTCCACTTGAAGTCTCTGTTGGTGTCAAAGCAGGAACAGGAGGGAGAAATCTTCTTATCACAAGAATAGAGACAAGGAAAAAAAAAAATGGATCACCTTTGAAAGCAAAGATGGTGTTTCTCAAGTATGCCATTAACTGGCTTTGTCCGCTGTGTCAAGCTCAAACAGGGAATGAGTAAGGAGATATTATCATTATTGTGTCCCACTTCTGTGGATTCAAACATGCAGATGACATTTTACAAAGTAAACAGAGACCAAGGGCTTGCCCTGGAGAGCTGGCAGTGACATCCAAGACAAGATCATGGAGAGAGAGGGGACATTCAAAGAAAACATGCAGTCCTCGAGTTCCCTGTTAGTGCAGCGTGCCTCTGCCTCCTTGGGCAGATGGATTTTTTTCCATATTGAACTGGTGATGGCAGGAGAGGGGCTCAGGCGCTGTTTATGTGTGGGACCTCCAGACCCCTTCTCTCAGTGCCTTTTATAGGAGAAAAATTTATTTGAGAAAGAGTTAAAATGAGGAAGAGGTTTGAGGGAGTGTAGAATGCAAGACAGTGGATTCAAGAGTTACCAGATCCCTGTGAAGTCATGGGATTCTACTAAATTATCCAAAACACTTGAACCCGAACTTGTTACTGGCTTGCCCTTATTCCAAGGACAAGTCTGAGATTTCACTGAAACCCTTGGGGAAACACTGCCTTAATTCTGTTTACTTCAGTCTGCAATCTTCAATAGCTGGTATGTTTGCATTCAGTTTTTGTGAACATCTGGATTACCCAAATTATCCACATCTTTTTCAAACAAAGGAAGATAATAATAATGAGGGAGCTCAGAGCTGGGTGCCTGAGAATCAGACCAGAGTCGCAGCTTTCTCTCACAATAAAAAAAAATCATTAAAACCTTTAAATGGCATCTTTTGTCCCAGACTGAGTCCCTTGCACATGTACCAGTGGAAGACAAATACACACAGGAGCTGATAGAAATTTTGTTATGGCCCAATGATGCAGAAAGAAACTGGCAGTGAGATTTAACAAGGTCACTTCAAGGCACAGAAACGTCTGTAAAATATGCTCATTCTCCACATCCTATAAAAACAGGACCAGGGAGGTGAGGGATAAACCTTTCACATATAGGAAATGGTGATTTATGATTAATTTCCAAAAGAAGGAAATCCTTTTTTAATCAAAGTTATTTATAGGGTTAATCCAGAGGCAGTATTTGCTTGACAGCTCCCTTGCTCGCTAGCACAGAAACCAAGAGAAGGTGAAGATGGATGGGGTTTGTCCATGGGATGTGAATCAGCCCCGCGCAGGAGGGCCCGTAGTCAAGGATACCCCTGTTATTTATAGCCAAGGTCTTCAAAAGGGAATGGCTGATCTTGGGTCCCTTGGGTTTGATCGCCCAACCTGTGACCTGTGCAGAGTGCCAACTTCCTTGAAAAATGGCCTTTAGAAATCCTATTTCCCGCCATGAGCCTTCGGGGATTTGTAAGATTTGTTGTATCTGGTGCTTCTTGCTGGAACTGAGTGGCTGAAACCCAGGATTCCCCCATTTAGCGCTGCTGGGTACAAACAGAGCCATGCTGGACCCAGCGAGGAGCAAACTGAGGTGACATCTCCCTCTCTCCAGATTTCACAGAGCAAAGGGTTTTAAAGAAATAGGTTTTTCTGGTTGCTGCATGGCTGTTTGGAAAGCTGTAGTTGCAGTGTGTGGCAGGAGACGGAGCAATGCTGATTTACCCTGAAGAGCAATGATTGCCCTTCTGGTACCCTATTCCTGGCTGGAGGGAGGGGAGGTGCTCAGTGCTCCACAGGATCTGGCTCTCAGGATGTAACCCACGCCTCAACTTCATGTTAATTTGATCTCACATCTGCTGTTTATTGAATTAATGCTGGATGGTTCCCTGGAGTGAGCACTACAGATTTTTAGAGCATCTCACAGGTGCTCAGGTGCTGCAGTGAGGGTCAAGACACCAAAAGGAGGCAGGCAAACCATACAGGAGTCCGGACACCCAGTTGAAAGTGCCTTTTCAAAAAGGCTGACAACTGTTGAGAAAGAGATGAGCCAAGAAAAGACAAAGCAAGATGAGTTTGGTACTACACTGGTGTTATTTATAATCTCACTACAGACCTAATTTCTCTTGTGGCTTCAATCCTCCCCATTTTCAGCCAGCAATCTATTATATCGAAAGATATTTGAGAGGCTTTGGGAGTAGGGAAATTATTATACATAAAATATGTAGCTAGTATTATTAGAACAGACTTTGATTAATTTTGCAGCTGGCAAAATTGCCCCTGCCTGAAAATGAAATCCATTTGCTATCCGTGTGGAAGTAATTGTGTTAATATCAAAGCTGGTTTTAAAATGAAACAGAGAGGGCTCTACTCCATGTCTCCCGTGCAAGGAATCAGGGATGTGAGATGAAGGGCTGGAGTGATAACACAAGGAATTAGGGATGTGAGATGAAGGGCTGGAGTGATAACACAAGGAATTATCCTTTCCCCCACAGAAAGTCTTTGTGACTTCAACAGAGTTATTTGTGGTATGTTTAAGGTATATTCAAATACATAGACATATTCTAGTAATCTCCTGCCTCAGTTTCACCTTTGATTTGTGTGTTGCCTATGGGCAGAGAGTCATATTGGTGTTTGTACTACGTGTTTTCATGGCACCGGGCACAGCAGAGCCCTGTCTCATGGGCAGGTTCATCAGCCCAATAACTGTCGACAGCAAAGATACGCATCCAGGCCAGAAATATCTCTCCGAGTAATTACCGTGCTCCTCGTCTATAGGAGCGATTCTGAAAAGCACTTGGACAAGATTAAACAGACAGCTTTTGTTAATTAAGAACCGTTTGGGCTTCAGGTGTTAGAAAGATCCCAGATGGCCCCGTATCCATCACCCCTGGCTGCAGCTGGGGTCTGGCTCACCCCCTTTATTTCTCATGCTAAAAGTTTTCCTCCCTGCCGCCTGTTTGCTGGAGTGCACAGATTCTCTCCTCCTCCCAAGCAGGAGGTGGGCAGGTCTGACTCCATTAAATATACAAAGAGACCGGGCTCCCTCGCTGCTCCACCGAGGACTGGCGTGAGCACCGGTGGCCCAGCAGCAGCAAAACCTGAGCAAAGGCTGCCCAAAGGGCTGGGGGAAGGGTGAAAACAGCAGCAGCAACAGATAAACCGAGCAGCCAAAGCGCCCGGTGAGAAACGGGAGAGGAGCCAGCAGGAGAGCCCAGGAAGGGAGGCTGTGCATTTCGTGTCTCTTTGCAGGAGCTTTCAGCAGCCCTTACACATCTCTTGCAAGCATATGTGAATCTGTGTCCCTGCGAAGAGCACCCTTCTACGAGGAAGAGCTGGAAATCAGTCAGAAAAGAAAAAATAATAACCCGTCAGCTATTATCCCGTCAAAGAGCCAGGTTGGAGGGAGAGAGAGAAAGGAGTTTAGGGGAATGAAGCTGGAGGATTCGGAGACTCAGGGAGGAAAAGTTACCCTGACGGGAGGCTCTGCGTGCTAGAGCCTGAGCTCCGCTCCACAATGGGATTTCTCGCGTCTAAAGGAAACCTCCTCCTCCTGCTGTGTGCCAGCGTCTTCCCCGGTAAGTTTGAGAAAGCTTTTCTACCCTCGCTCTGCTCTTTAGCTCTTTTCTCCCATACCCCTCTCAAAGGCGTACCGCCAAGACCGGTCTCTACCAGCAAGGAATTTTCCCCGCTCCTGCATCCTCCTGCCCCATCCGTGCAGGTCCTCTAAATCCCAGCCTCTGCTGAGCAAAGCTTTGCTTTTATTTTCTGCTCCTTGCCTGATTTGACGGGGAAATGGTTAAAGCCGCGGTGGGGAAGGGGACAGGAGGGAGAAGACAGACAGGGGCTCAGCATCCTGCTTCTTGCCTGGGCTTTTCTTCCCTGGGTAAAGTGTGTTAATGTGTCTCCGGGCTACAGCTCGGGCTGGGGAGAGCACAGCCAGCACTCAGCTAATGCTTCCCTTTGTATAATCCAGGGCAGCTAAAGACTAAGTAGGAGCCATATTCCACGAGGGATGGGAGAAGAGCCCCCGGCTCCCTCTCCCCACCATCCGCGGTGGGGGATGCGTCTGCGTGCAGCCGGCACTGGAGCGCAGTTCCCCCGGCATCCCCCTGGAAGAAGGGGGGCTTTAATCTTTCATACCCTACAGGCGCCTCCGACGGTTCCCGCAGCGTACGTGCGGGGTCAGGGCTGCTCCTCGCAGCCTCCAACTTTTAAAGTCGTTATTGAGGGAAACTGTGCTCCTGTATTTGTGCTCTCCCCCTTCCTCTTCTTTCACCCATCGTTTTTGCAAAATGAAGGTTAGCTTGAAAAGCTACATTTCAGTCTGCCTTTTTTTTCCCCGATGCGTTTGATGCCAGCTTTATGTGTAAATCTGATCCAAAATCCCTATCTCCCAGCATGAGACTGCTTTTTCCTTTTTGCTTTGCCCTTCCGACATCTCTCTCTCCTGCTTTCAGACTTCAGTGCTAGAAACTTGCCGCAAAGCAGCCATGAAAATTAGACGATTCAGGGCAGAATGGCCCATGTAGAGCTTTCCAAATGATACTAGTGATGCCCCCACTTTTAGCAGATCAATCCTGCTCTGCAATAGACGTTGGGAATTGGCCACAGTGGGTGAATAAAGTGAGTAATACAGGGCAATGCCTGGGGTAGCAGGGAGTTAAGTAACCAGGGTGGCATCACCCATGCGTCCCTACTCACCTATCACAGAAGGGTCTGACTATGCCGGCACTTGGATCAGATGCATTTCACGTGCCCCATGCCTTCCCCACAGCCTTCAGCCATGTGGAAACCCGAGCCCATGCAGAGGAACGTCTCCTGAAGAAACTCTTCTCCGGTTATAACAAGTGGTCGCGCCCCGTTGCCAACATTTCCGATGTGGTCCTTGTACGCTTCGGCTTGTCCATTGCCCAGCTCATCGATGTTGTAAGTGCAATAAGCAGCCAATATTAACCAGGTTGGGGCTTGGGGAGAGGCTCCCGGTGCAGGTTTTACTTGGCTGGTCCAGGGTTGGGTTGGGAAGATTTAGCTCCCAGCAGAGACGAGTTATCACGCAGACAGCTCTGCTGGAACGAGGTATGATTCATGTGAGTAGCTGGTCATCAGTGGATCCTTTATTCTTCATTTACTGTAGGCAAAATCCCAAATTTCTTATCAAAACCCGTGGGGCCAATCGCAGCAGAGCAGTGGAGCAACTGGTATAAATGCCAGAGAGTCCTGGCTGAGGAAAAAAAACAAATAGCAGACTTGGAATTTGAGCCATAGTTATGAACACTAATTTACACAGGCTAATGGCGCAGTGGTTTACGCATCTCTGGAAGACAGCTTGCCTGAAGAGCTTTCTGTAAATGAAAATTTTGAGGGCTGTTAGCTAATCTGGCAGATATTAACAAGAAAATTGCTTCTGTGTGTTTGCTTAAATAGAAGTTACGTATGTGCATACTGCATACGCTATGTACAAGCAGAGAGGTTTGTACTCCAGACTGATGTACGTTGAAATGGAATGTATTTAAATGGTATTTGAAGCATTATCCTATCACAGTGCATTGGGATCAAGTGCTGAATCCATGCATGCAGCACTTGCCAGGACAGTGTGTTTGTGTAGATGCACATCTCTTGAACAAGCATCCACCTCACTTTCAGAGACTCTCTGTCACTTTTTGCTGTATTTGTGTGGCAGAGTAAAAGGGAGTTGTGATAGTGTAAAGTGTAAGGCAACTTAAAGACATTACTGGTGTGGGACAACCGTAACAGGTGACTCTCTGCAACATTTTGTATTTTGAGATGAGAGTTTTGAGATGCAGAGACAGCATAGCTGAGGTGGTGATGGAGGTGGGCAATCACAGACACCAGTTGCTAGAGGGTTGCTTCTCCTTGAGCAGAAACCATCAGCTTCCAGCTTTGCAGCACAGAAATGGCCTTCCATTCCCCTTCTCCCTCTTACAGCAGCCTGAGGGATCCAGGCCTGTTTGCAGTTGTTAACGTTGAAGTTGTACGGTTCTCGTCTGAATAATTGATAAGACTAAAGATGAGACATTAGTGACTGTGGAGGCATGAGAAAGACTTTCCATTATGCAGCTGCTGAATTGTGGAAGGGGGAGATCGATACACCTACTTCGTAGTGCTTTTCCCAGTTTACTTAAGAAGAATTAATCTTCTTAAAATCATGTCAGAGGTTAGAAGTGCAACTAGTGCTATGCTGAGGCTTGTGGGCACAGCTGGGGGAGAGCTCTCCTCCCCTCCTGCCCCAGTCCATGTGGCTGGGGACTGGTGACACCCCCTGCCACCACTGCACCACTTCAGTTGCCTCTGCCCTCTCCAGCCAGTGACGCTGTTTTGATGCAAACCCTGCTGCAATTGTTAGAGCCAACGTTCAGCTCCCAGTGACAAAAATCTGAAAGAGAAATCAGAGCCGTATTCAAACCCTGGCTCCTGCTGACAAAAGCTGGATGAGGGGGAACAAAAATCAATGGGGAACTCGACATCCCTGCATGTCCTTACCTCACCCTGGTGTGCTGAGGGCTTTCTGAGCCCAGAAAAAAATGATAAATGATCAGACACGTGTCCAGAAACACGTTTGGGTTCCTAAACCCATGTCTCTGCAGGACCTCGTGTGCTTCTAGTCCCTAATCCCAGACGAGGGCATCTCTGATTGGGTTTTACACTTGGTGCCACAACAGCAGTGAGGAGGCTCAGTGAGGGGGAGGCACAGCCCTACCCTGATTCTCCTGGCTTTTAATGTTCAGAATTAATCCTGAACTGCCACAAGAGCAAGGTTAATGACGAACAGTCATTGCTTCCAAACGAGCCCTGTCAATTGAGCCAGTTTTGATGCTGACCAAAGAGAGAGAGAAAAGAAACAAAACCATAAATTAGCTCTGAGCTCTGGTGTGACACTTAAATCAGACCTGCACCAGGCTCTGCCCCACATAATTCATCTTGGTTATTTACACAGGGGTTGTAACAAGCAGGAAAGGCAAGCAGCAAATGGGAATTAATTCTATGACAGTGCTGCCAGCATTGTATCTGCCTTTAATAGTATAAATACATGTAGTTCTACCTGTCCATGCTATTTGTACTTAGAGTAGGGGAAAAGTCTAAAGTGTCACACACCAGACTGCGCAAAGGTTACATGTCAGCAGAATAGCTTGGGATTATTCAGAAAACTCAATCCATAGGGCTCTAAATTCGCATATTTGGTAGAAGGAGAAACGTTGCTGAACTTCATGTTTCCAGAGCTGCGTTTAATGATAACATTTCACAGCAGAAGTAATAAACACTACTCACAGACGAAGCTGAGCATTGTAATTCACACAGATGTGTATGAGTAAGGATATATATCCCCACTGAAGGATATATACCTCCATCACTCCCCTTTCTCCAGTGTTCAGGTCAAAGCCAAACTGTGGAGCTCTTTCCTGTCCCATCATCCTAGGCTGAATCCATCAGCACCAAGGAAAATCCCGATAAATTCTAGTCTGTCTGCTCACAAGATTGCGGAGGTGCAGACTCAGCTGTTCATTGGTATCAGGCAGCTGTGTCCCGTCCCATGTTAAATGACAGGAACATCTGCTTGTTATTTCCAAGATGGAACTTACATTTATTGCAGAGGTGATTTTTAATTACCAAAATGAAGTACAATTAAGAAAAATTTAATGAGTTTTTGAGGCCGCTTCATCTGCTTCTGTAACCAAAATACGATCTTGTGTTTCAGGATGAGAAAAATCAAATGATGACCACGAATGTGTGGGTGAAGCAGGTAGGTGCATCAAAACACGTGTTTTTCCATGTTCTTTTGCAGTTTTGCAGTCTGAGCTCTCTCAGCTTTGTAACCGCCTCATTTTTTGGCAGGAGTGGCACGATTACAAGCTACGCTGGGACCCTCAAGAATACGAAAATGTCACATCCATCCGAATCCCCTCGGAGCTCATCTGGAGGCCCGATATTGTCCTCTACAACAAGTGAGTGTGAGCACTGTGGCCAGAGGGCAAACCCATCCTTGCAGATTTTCTCTGTCCATGGTGTTACAGTGCCTTTTGCAATTGTTCCTCCTTATTATGTTCTCTCTGGCTGGATTTCATGTGGATTTTTATAGCATCTGTCCCAGACATGCCTTAAATGACATGACTAACGTTCATCACAAGGGCTTTGTTCTCCTAATTATCCTTTCTCTGGACAGAGAGTTTTGTTGGGGGATGCCAGGTATTGTTTTCTCTTCACATGTCAAATACACAATTAAGCTGGATTTGACGTTTTGGTCCTCTTTAATTTCATTTCACCAAGGAGCTCTCGTCTAATTCATCACCATCAACTGGAAAAGCCAATTACTGAGGATGGACTGAAACATGTCAGACTTACATGCCTACAAATACAGGTTTCAGGTCAGCCCAATACCACTCTAAAATTATCCTTTAATAGGTATTTGTTCCTGATCCCGAATGCATGAAATCTGTCTCTCGTATGAACACTTCCTAGGGAGCAGGTGGCTGTTTTCTTTCTTTCCTTTGGAGCCTGTTGATATTCTTAGAAAGACTGTGCTAGTGCCAAGGCTGTTTTCTCCTTGGCTTATCATGCCAGAGCTCTCCAGTCTCCATGGATGTAGGATATCCCAGTCGCCCTCCCCAGCACAGCCTCCAGAGAAAACCCTTGCTGCAATCATCAAACAAAACCATCTTTGTATGCGGCTAACACGCAGAGAAAACTCTAAGAACGGAAGCCAGGCTCATTTTTAATAAACAGTTGCCTGGTTCTAGCTTGATAGGATTTAGCTTTTGTTTGTTGTTTGTTTTTTTTTAATATGGCCGAAGGACAAATCTGCCCATGTGACTGTGAGCTTTGGGGACTGTGGAAATTGTTATCTTTCCCATTAGCTTGTCTCTGATTCTCAGTGGTGTGAGGTGATTGCAGACCTCTTGGAAATCACTGCATCCACACATGGCAACTTTCAGAGGTTAAACCCATGGAAATGACTAATTCATAGGCACTTGGACCTTCCCGTCCTACAGGGACACACTCTGAGCCATGAATATTATTTTACAAATGCCTCACATTGCAGCCAAAAAAGGTGTTCACAGCTTCCACTGGAAAAAATTAATGTCCTTGTCCCTCTAATTGCTTAATTAATTACAATGGTAAGGATTATTATTTTCGGAGCTTCAGGTGGTTGTCAGGGTGGACTGTAGTGCCAAAGAAAATAGTGCTGCATAAATCTCCATCATCTATGGGACCTTTGTGCTTCAAAACATCCATTTGCTGGAGCTACCCAAGAGCCTGATGTGTCTTCTCTGTATCTGCTCCCTTGACTCACCATGCAAGGAGGGCCCTAGCACTAAAGAAGGAGGTAGCTACTTCTTCAAGCTACTTCTCTCCCTTTGTCCATACTTACCATTAATAATCATATATTCCTCTGCTGGTTGTCATGAGTCTATCATGCATTTTTAATTGGTTACTTTATGCATGAATTAAACATGGATGTCGGCGCCAACCATTAGCCAGTCAGTAATGGCTTTTCATTAATTCTATATCTCCTTACATCTATATTTGCCCATGCTTTTTCATACAGTCCTATGTAAACTATTTTCTGCCCAGGGATATACTTCTTTCTTCTACCTCACTTCCTATCAGACACATCTAAAGCTGCACTCAGAATCTTCCTTGCGCTGCTCTAACAACCAGGTTTCATGGTTTTTAGGGGTTGCAGGGCACATGCAAAGCAAGACCTGCAGCATGGTGGGACACCATAAGGCTCTTCTGCATGGCAGCTCACCAGCTGTGTAACCAGTGATTCTCCTTGTGGGCATCTCAGCTAGAAATGATTCAGAAAGAAAGGCATTGCGAAGACAGCGACTAGTCATGGGTGATGCTGACTCCTGTCTCATATTTTACTTATATATATAGTTAGGAGGGATTTAAAGTAGATGCACATCATTCTGGGTCTGTAAGAGCAGAAGAAAATGTGCAGAGACCCTGGTGGAAGAAAGTAAGTGGCCACACTGGCCTTTTGTACTGTTCAAGATTTTTAATAGGTTAAAATTAAATAGGTTTTTAAAATATTTATTGCTTTTCACATGCTTTGGTAGAAGTACGGTATTTCTGTTTGGGACAGTATCCTTAGGAAAAGAGACTTTCTGGACAAGAGATTACAGAAATGCCTCTCCTGTTTTCATCTTGGGATATATATAGAAATGGTGGAATTTAAATTGATTTGAGATTTACATCTTTAAGGAAATCTAACCCCTTGTTGGGAGGTTATTCTTATATCTAAGCTCATTATTGTCTAAAACTTCCGTTTATCCACTCTAGAGGCCTAAATTAAATCAGTAAACTCAGCTGGTTTGGCCTAGAGAGTATATGTAGTTGTCAACATTCATAAGGACTCTAAAACCAAATTAATATCCTACAGGGAAATTAATATGCTGTTGCATTTTCAGGCTTGATAAGTTCCAAGACTGTAAATAGTTTCTACTAGATGTGACCAAACACATGTACAACAGAGGAATGTGAGTTAATAATGAAGCAACAAAGCCTCCTCTTCTCTGCTAAGAAGGACATCTGTTCCTTATCGGAGGCTGAAGAGTCTTTTCAAACACCACCAAATAATTTATAAATGAATTAATCCTCTGCATTGACTTATTTTCCCATTCATGAATGGACTTGGGGCACCATTTAGTTTTCCTGTATATATTTAAAGTATTTTTTTAATTCTTTTTTTTTTTCCTGATCAGGGAGTAAACCCTTGGGGCTGCATTTCCATTTTTTTTTAATTATTTTTTTTTTCTTCTCCACCACTGTGTTGACCCCATGCAACATAGAAACTCCAGAGAAGAAAACTCTGAAATCGCCGGTTTGCAGCCATGTTCTCCAGCTGCTAAAGGCCGGAATGCAAGACCATGCTCTTGGGCCTAATGGATGGGCAGGGAACTTGAAATGTGAGCTTCACTGGCTAGTTTTCAACTGGATATTCATGATAGCATTTGTCTTCTCTAGTCTGATGATTGTAAAACCTGGGAAGAAGCTATTGGGAATATTTAGACTTAATATTTTTCTTTTTTTGCAATATTTTCTGGTGTTAGCTGTTCCAAAAAGAAATCCTCGCCTTAGCCTCCATAGTCACCAAAAAAACCCAAGGATAAAAGACAAGATCATACATGAAGGGAATTCAAATACAAAATTGTGTAATTAGGAGCAGGAAATATCTTGAGGAATTCACCCTGTGGTAATATGGGCACGAAGGATTACTGCAGTGGGTTAGGAGATCATCTGGCAGGCAGCTTTTGAAAATCATGAGAAAGCAAAGAGTTCCTTTGAACTACACTATAGCAGCTTGTTCTTTAGAACTATACTACAATGTTCACAACCAGTGAGACGTATGGAGTAACACTGGCTTCCTGACTCATCCTGAAGCTGTTTGGAGAAGAAATACCAAAAGATGCCCTTGTCTAACCTTTAAAATATTGGAACAATTCTTGACATTTTTCTCTGTATGTGAGTGTGCCCTTGCACAGATCAGGTCATTTTGTACCAGACTGTACTTATAATGGGCCCACAGACACTACTTCACACTTAAGCTTTCTTGATTCTTCTGGGAGTTTAGATGGCTGTTTCTGGAGAGGAATTCTATCTCTAGATGCGTTTGAGATTTGCTGCCAAGCTCTGTCCAGCCATATAGGAATTAGCAGAAATAAATCCAGAGGGGTCTCTCTCATGGGCTGTTGCTGAGCTTGCATCCAAGGACTCCTACCATTATGCACAGGACAGAGCTAGAGTTTTGCCTCTAAAGTGCTGACGAGGATGATCAGCAAAGGGGAGAATTGAAGTAAAACGTATGAATTCAGCACTGTTATTTCATTGGTGTAGCACAGCCATTTCTGAGACAGAAGCCAATTTTACTGAGAAGCAATCAAAATATCGATTACCACTGATTTCTAAACGTCTGAAGCAAGCTAAAGCTGGGACATGACCTAAAGAGGCACACATCAGTGCACAGACAACCCCATTTATGCACCCAAAATGTTTTGTACCCAAGTTGCCAAGACCTTGAAGACATTTGCCCAACAGGACAAAGTCCTGACCCTCTTGTATCTGACCCTGCTTTGAGCAGGGAATTTGGACTTGACAGTCTTCACAGGTCCCTTCCAACCTTTGCATTTGTAGTTATCATTTTGATAGCACAAAACAATTGTTAAACAAAATATTCCCTGGTTTGCCTTTAGACAGCAATTTAATCTGATCATTACAGAAGCATCTCTTTAATGTGTACCAGAAGGGTGCAGGGCACATTCTTTAAAGAGGCCTTGAAACTGCAGTTTTTCTTGGTTACTGCTCTTTGATGGAAAATGCTTTAAATGAGGACATTCTAGCTATATCCATATATGTATATAGCTAATTTTCAGGCTTTTAAAGCTCTGTTTGGATTTAAATTGTATCGTCAGAAATTAAAATAAATGCGTGCCTCATTTACATGCATTCTGAAAACATTTAATTTTGTGAGATGATGTATCTCCCGACTGCAGGGAAAATAGAAACTGGCAAAAAAAAAATACTCTCCATCAGCAGAGCTTCTTAATGAAATACGGTTGATGGCTGCCAGTAAAACAATGCAATTCTTGAACCCTTATAAACTTACAAGATTTTAGAAGAGCAGCTTTTATTCTCAGAATGAGGACTCGAGGGCTGCAGAACACCACAGCACTGTTTCCATTGGCAAAGGAACAAGCAGCTGTCTTCTCTCTTTGTTGGCCTGCACTGTTGTGTTTGACATGAAAATATAAGAGTTACAGTACTTTATTACTGACAGATTTTTAAAGCTGTCAGGTCAGGGTAATCAGGAGGTAGTCAGGGTAATTCTCAAGTTCTTGCTGTGATGTTTGCTTTGCACTCGCTCCTTCTCCCAAATGCTTTTTCATTACAACTGTCACAACACAGTGGTTGAGACTGGATGAGATGAAAATGTGCTACCACTATAAAGGGATGACTGCAGATTTTTCTCTGTCCCACTGTATCAGATCTCCCACCTTCCTGTCTATGGAAATACTCTCGTTATGCAGTCAGGGCTGCCAGCACAACTTGGCCAGGAATGGGTTTTCCTACAGCAAAGCTTTCCACAAGAAAACAGAGTTTCCCCATCTCTGAACCACAGACTTCATTTGCAGTTGGTTGTCTCACCTTCCTCCTGTGGGGAAGATGGAGAAAGGTTGGGGAAAGGCTTTGGAAGATCATTGACAGTCGTGTGACCTTGCTTGCTCCATCTCTTATGTCAGAAGGAGCTGAGTGAAAGCTTCACCCAGGATGAACGCATCTCTCTAGGTTCACCCTGTATCGGCAGGGTGCCAGCAAGTGTAGCTTCCAATCCAGTGAGCATATGCTTGAAGGTCCAGTGTGGGTGGTAAGCTTGGGAAAGGAAGCAAAAATATATGTATGGATGAAGGGTTATGACAACTGTGAACACTACCTTTGCATGATATAGCTGGCTTGGATACAGTCTATGTACACCAGCATGGCTAATTTACCCTGCTTACAGATTGCTCAGATAGCTCTACATTGAACGGCACTGGGAAGTTCAAACGTGACCAGTAGAGTCAGGATTTACTTCACAGCCCAGTCAGGTTGGTGAGGGAGAAGCAGGAGGATCCCAGGGTGTTTCATGGCTCCTCAGAGTCATTAGCTCACTCTCAAATGCAAGAAGTTTTTCTGCTCTTGGTCCTGCCATGGCTCTGCAGGCAAAATCCAGCCTGGAAGGCAGTGCCGGTGTTATTTGTAATAATGTGTGAGCCAAAAAGGACACAGGATGAGGCTGGGTTTGTTAGGCAAGCAATTAAAAAATAGCTTCCTCATCAAAGAAGCAGATCAATTATGGAAATAATTGACACACGGGATCTGTGGCCTCACACTGGTTACATCTACAGAGAGGCCTGTGGCTAGTCACACAGAGACTGTCAAACTGCCACACAAGACATTTCTGGGAATTAAACACAATTACATGAATTTTTGTTGCTCCTGGATGTATTTTTACCAAGAGTTTCATGTCCTTTTCCAACAATATTCAAAAGGAAAAGCACATACCTGTGTTGCTTACCCAGCCACTTACACATTGCTCTACCTAAGGAGGGAAACACTGGTGGATGCTCATTATCCCTTTTGTGTAATATGAGTCCGATTATAAACATATTGTTCCATTAATGAACAATTTAATCATGCCTCAGAGATCTCATTAAATGCAGAATTGGATTTCAAATGCCTATCGAGATTTAGAAAGGAAACCATTGAGAACAGCAAGCACTGGACTGTCACTTGCTGTGCACGTTTCATGTCTCAATCTGGCTTTACAATGCAGGCAAAAGCCAAGAGAAAAAGATAAGATAATTTTCATCCAAAGCAAGTGGTCCTGGAGTGTAAATTAGATTGAAGAAAGAAGAGGCAAGAAAGGACTTGGGTACATGGTACAATGGCATTGTTTGTTTTCATTTTTTGTTGGAGTAAAACACGATGGTGATTTTGCCATGATCCCTTTGAGACAGCAGTCTGAGTTTGTACATGTTTTTAGCTTTCCTGTATTTCTTTTCTTTAAAAAGGACATTTTAAAGCTTTAGAAAAAGTCCAGTTCAGAGGCGAAAAAGCAGTGTCTCCTTCTGTTTTCTCTTGTTTTTCCAAAATCTGCCATGAAGTGCAAAGGCTTTCCACTATAGAAACAAAGAAGAGCTCAGTAAAAACCTGGCTCTCAACCACAAACAATAATTCTGAAATTATTTTTGTATTAATTCCACTAATCTGTAAAATTTTCTCTAAAGACAAAGAGAGGGACTGGATGATCCTGGGGGCCGGGGGCCTGTGCTGCCTCTGCCCAGTTACCAAGTTAGTCAAGACATTGAGATGCTGGGAGCCAGATCCCGTCGAAGTTTGCCAAAACGAGCAACACTACACCAGTCTCACTGGAAGCTGATGTGGTCATGGACTGAGGAGGATGTTTCACAGGGCAAGACGAAATATCAGAAAGTCTTTCTTTCCCCTTTGGCATGTGAATTAATGGATGGTCTGCTAAAGAAATATACCTGGGGAAGTTCCTCTGCCTTATGCAGCCTAGGGAGCCCCACCAGCTCATTCTCACACTGTTCATCTCGCTGCTGGTGAGGAAGAGGGGTGACCCCGCGCACTCCATGGCCATACGGCTGCTGTCAGGGCATATCTGAGCTCTGAAGCAGCATAGCGGGGCCGAGGGAGTTTGCTGGCTGCTGGGGAAGCGGCTGCAGGCTGGACCAGCTCCAGCTGGGAGGGCTGGGCAGGAGCAGAGAGCTTTCTGTCTGTACCAGCCTGAATAATTCATCTCAACTTTTTAGCCAAAGCTCTTCCCCTCCGGCTCAGAGGAAGAGGCCCTTTGTTTGGCGGAGTTGCTGGTTGCCACTCGGCATCACACAGCTCCTTCCTCTCCATCCCTAAGGTCCGTGGTAGCTCCAGTCAGGTGTGTAAGATGGTCCCCAGTCCACTCCCTACTTTTTGGATGCTCTTTTCTCTGTTCCTGTAGCTAGACTTGAGGGCATTGCTCTACACACAGATTCCACCTGCTTTTTTTCAGTTGGGATTTCAATCTTTCAGAATGAAAAAAAAATGCAGCTCTACGCAAAGCTCACGCACATTTTAAGGCTGCTCAAACCAAAGTGTTTGATCCAGGATGTGACTGTCTGAGGATACCAAAATCCTCTGTCTGCAAGTAGAAATCAAGGGAGAGTGGAGGTTTGATATTTCAGCCAGTCACTGCACAAAGGGGCTGCAGGTGCAGGGGCTTGACTCATTTTCTGGTGAAGGTGTCATTTTGTGATTCACACGCCCAGTCTTCACCACAATAATTATTCGAACAGGGAGATTTGTTGCTCTGAATGCTTCAGTTTTGCCTCTTTGCATAAGCAGATCCTGCAGACACTGCCTAGAGGAAGGATGTTGAAGAAGGTACCTCTGGACCTGGCCCCAGAGTTTAGGTGTCACAGTCCACATCTCTTCACTGAGAGCAGGGGAGGAACAGGGCATGGTGTAGCCATGCAGGGCATTAATTACCTGCTGCACTAATTGAATCCATTAATGAGCTAATTTATTTCTGTGTGGTTAATGTGTGGGAGTGAGGAAGCAGTGGATGCTGGAGCAGGTAGAGGACAGGATTGGCTACAGGGCTGGAGGTCCCATCCCCAGAGTTCCTTAGCCTCCCTCCTTTCTCCAACACTGTTATGGATTGGGTATGGCATTTCCTGGTGATTTTTCATCCTTGCACTGGCCCCTCCTGTTGCCTTTTTCAACCCCTTCACTTGTATCCCAGTCCCTACAATGAACTGGAAGCAGCTGGTGTCATTGGTGCATGATACAGTGCTGTGGGAAATCAGTGCACTTTTCCCACACTGCCAGACAAAGAAAACCAAATACAAACCAAAAAAACACTCTCTTTATGCAATAGCTTTTTCACTGTCTGGGAAATGGCTTTCTGCTATAAAATCCTGTGTTGTTATCTATTTATCTTATACCAGAACACAGACTCCAATTGAGAGTCCCTGTAAGAAGACACCAGAAGAGACAGCTCTCTTTCTGACTGGGAAATCAAGAGATTAACTTTCATTATTCCTATTAATAGGATCTTCTCACTGTTTTCCATGTAAGAGACTGAGTGATTACCCAACACTGTTTCTTTTATTGCAGCTGTCACAATTAATTCTGCAGAGCCCACAGCCACACTACCTGATCGTGGTTTCTCCCTCCCACTTCTTTGAAGCAAACTCAACCTTTTCCAGGGCATTTATGGGACACCTTTGAGGAAAACTTGTGTACATTCACCTCAAGGGTCTGACTTATGCAAGGTAAGCTGAGAAGTCCCAAAGAAGCCTCAGTCTTCTTTTATCTTCTCTCTCTCCCCAGTGCTGATGGTGACTTTGCAGTCACCCACCTGACCAAGGCCCACCTCTTCTATGATGGGAGGATTAAATGGATGCCACCTGCTATCTACAAAAGCTCCTGCAGCATCGATGTTACCTTCTTCCCCTTTGACCAGCAAAACTGCACAATGAAGTTTGGCTCCTGGACCTATGACAAAGCTAAGATTGACTTGGTGAGCATGCACAGTCATGTGGACCAGCTGGACTACTGGGAGAGTGGGGAATGGGTCATCATCAACGCTGTGGGCAATTACAACAGCAAGAAATATGAATGCTGCACAGAGATCTACCCTGACATAACCTACTCCTTCATTATCCGGAGGCTGCCCCTGTTCTACACCATCAATCTGATCATCCCCTGCCTGCTGATCTCCTGCCTGACCGTTCTGGTCTTCTACCTGCCCTCTGAGTGTGGAGAGAAGATAACCTTGTGCATCTCTGTGCTGCTGTCCCTCACTGTGTTCCTGCTGCTCATCACAGAGATCATCCCATCTACCTCCTTGGTCATCCCCCTGATTGGAGAGTATCTTCTCTTCACCATGATATTTGTTACCTTGTCTATCATCATCACTGTCTTTGTGCTCAACGTGCACCATCGTTCCCCGCGTACCCACACGATGCCTGACTGGGTGAGGAGGATCTTCCTTGACATTGTCCCACGCCTCCTCTTCATGAAACGTCCCTCCACAGTGAAAGACAATTGCAAGAAGCTCATTGAATCCATGCACAAAGTAACCAACGCACCAATGCTTTGGTCCGAGACCGACGTGGAGCCCAACTTCACTACCTCATCTTCCCCCAGCCCCCAGAGCAATGAGCCATCACCCACATCTTCCTTCTGTGCCCACCTCGAGGACCCAGCCAAGCCTCAGCCTATCTGCAAATCCCCTTCTGGGCAGTACTCTGTGCTGCACCCAGAGCCTGTGCAGGTGACCTGTTCGTCTCCACAACCCTCATGCCACCCCCTGAGTGACATCCAGACCACCTCCATCTCAAAAGGCAGATCGCTGAGTGTTCAGCAGATGTACAGCCCCAATAAGGCAGAGGAAGGAAGCATCCGCTGTAGGTCCCGCAGCATCCAGTATTGCTACCTGCAAGAGGACTCTTCCCAGACCAATGGCCAGTCCACTGGCTCTCCAGCATCCCAGCGGTGCCACCTAAATGAGGAGCAGCCCCAGCACAAGCCCCCTCAGTGCAAGTGTAAATGCAAAAAGAGTGAGGCAGCTGGCACGCCAGCTCAAGGAAGCAAGACTCACATCGCCAAAGAGCAACATCTGGTGTTGATGTCCCCAGCCCTGAAGCTGGCAGTGGAAGGGGTTCACTACATCGCAGACCACCTGCGAGCAGAAGATGCGGATTTCTCAGTAAGTAAGCTAACTTACCCTTCTCTCCTTCAGTAAGTCAAAAGTTATCTACTAAGGAAGCCTCACCAAACATGGGGGCTATACAGAGAGTGCGCTTGGTGATGCAAGCTTGGCTATCCCTGGTATTGTGGCTTTTGAACACTTTGACCACTATGGGCACAGCTGGAGAGTTTGTCCTTGGGGTCTTGGCAGGCCAAAGGGGTAGCACAACCAGACCATGCTCAGGACTGCTCTGGAGCAATAGGATTCTCCAGCAGAAAATAGGAGTAAAGTTGTTGTTAAGTAGGTAGGAAACAGCTAAGATTGTGGAAGGGATTCAAAAAGCAGTCATCTGGTGGGAAAGTAGCAGCCTTATTCTTTACAGAGAAGCCTCTGACACATGGAGAATTCACATGTTGTTTTCTATTAGGCATTGACTCTGGCTACTGAGCCTAGGAAAGCAAATTCCCAAAATAGGTTGTGGATGTGGGAAGCGCGTATTGGTGTGAGGATGCTGTGGGGTATGTTTAGCCCTGCATGGTGCGATTCCTCATCAGTGGACTTCCACCAGAGTGGTTGTCTCTGTGCAGGAAGGTGGGTGGACAGACAAACTTCACACTTACGCTAAAGGGGTAAACATGGCTACAAACAAAGAAGTAAAATAGAGGCTGAAAAATTTCTTTTAATGGAGATGATGATGTACGTACAAATGCCGCATTCTTTCACACCTCTTGTAGTTCTTCCCCTGCAATACAATGGATACGGTGTGCTAGCTAATTATGGCTCTAAGGAAGCCACAAGATATCCTGAAGTTAGTGTTCTTGCTAAAGAAAAGTCTTATCTGGCTTTTCCTAGGGAGGTCCGTCAGCAAAAGGTACCTTTTCAGCTGTGCTTACAGTTTGGTTTTCTCAAGATTGAAAGTCAGTGCAAGTCTTAGTGCTTTTATGCAAGACTTCCTGGGCATGAGGAGTGTCTTTATATTTGCATTTTTCACAGCATTGAGCACTTAGCAGCAGCCACAAAGCATTAAGCGCTACTGCCCATCTATAAACTGTTTGGTACCGTAGTTTGAGATGCACCTGTTCTTTAATGTCGTCCACATCACAAAATCCCTTTGAGGAAGTCACTGTTTATTCCTCATGTTGAGGAGTGACAGCCAAAATACTGAGACAAGGTGACCTGGTCAAGGTCATAGAACAAATCTGTGGCAGAGGTGGGCTGTGAGTTCCCATCGTCATCATTTGACAGCCCAGCACTCTTTGCTGGGCTAAAGCACTTAACAAGCACATGAGGACTGCAGGAATTAAACTCTGCTCTCTCCATCTAGCAATAATCACAAGTAAAGCCATAGAAGTCAGTTGATTTTAACTCGCTTGTTTCCCCCTGGTGCAAATGAAAGAATATTACACCAATAATAATTCCCATTTCAACTGATTCTCTTTCTGCTAAGCTTGTTGGTATAATCAGGAACTGAGACAACAACTATCTTGGGTTCTTTCTGTTTAATCCACAACTGCAACTTTCTTTAAAACGAAAACAGTCTTGAGAAGCTGCAAATTTTCTCCTTATACCTTTCACTACTCTTCCCTCTTGAAATGAAGTGATTATCTTAAGAGAGCTATTTACAGCACTAGACATCAAAAGCAGAAGAAAAGGACCTTCTGCAGCCCAGCCTGCAAACAAAGGCACCAGGAAAACCTCCAGCAATGAGCAGAGAAGGGGCACCCCCAGGACCACCGATGCTCCAGGTCCCCCAGGAAGAGCCTGCAAACCTGCCCACAGTTTTCTGCTCTTTCACAGCAGTTGTGGTTGGCACCGTAGACAGAGGTTGGATTTTCAGGTTTAAATTGGGGGAATAATTGCTGACTTCTGTCTGACGCTACTCTATTTTCTTTTCCTGGATGCAAGTAGAGTCAAGTGAGAAAACACAATTTTTCTCCAGCTGGAAATGAGAAAGAAGAAGGAAATATGATCTTCTGGAGCTGAGATTTACTGTAAGAAGCAGAACAGAGCTAATAAAATGAGTTTCTTTGGGGAAAAAATAAGTACTCAGAAGTTTTTTTTTAATCTTAAAATCAAATGGTGGCATTTCCTCATGGAAGTCTTGAACAGATCCATCAGCCGACACCTCCAATGCAGCTGCAGCTCCTGGGACACTGCTCCCTGTCTCTTGGGTAGCGTTTTCAGAGACATGCACCTTCCCAGAATAAGAACAGAGCTTCTTTTGAAGTTCCTGTCGTTTTTCTAAAGCACCATTGCCACAGGGGCAGTACTTCTAGATTAAAAGTAAATAGCTCATTTAATGAAGTGCTTCAGCAAAGAGAAAATGGGAAATGCAGGAGGCAGTTGTTTGTTACAAAAAGATATCTGCAAACAATATGAGCACAACGGTACGCTGGGGGAAACACAAGACCAAATTGTCCCAGCATATGATGGAAATGCCATTAGAAATTAATTACAGTCTGAGAAGCAAAACAAGCTGCATGTCACACATGAGCCAAAATAACCAGACACCAACAGCACTGTCTGGAAAGTGGTGTTGTCCTCACGCCTGTGTGCATCTCCAGATTGCTTTAAAAAGACTTAGAAGACAGCTTAAAAATAAAATGAGAGCGAATGCAGCTGAGGGGGAGGAAACATGGGATAATCTCACCAGTTTATTTTTAACAAAGTACAATAAAACTACCCAGGACTGCTCTAATCTGTGCTGCAGGCTCTGGGACCTGAGGATCAGACATCACCAAGGCACCTCACCCCTCCACCCAAATCCTGAGGCAGGGCGCCCTGTTCCTACAGCTCACACCTGCAAGGACCTGGACCAGGAAAGAGCTGCAGATTCCTTCACTTTTCAGGAATTTGGGGTGGGGGAGTCAGCTGGTTCCTGCCCCTGATCTCTTCCCGAAAATAGTTTTGAGTGAGCTTCTTAAAAACTAATCAAAATACAGCTCAGGAGTTGGGGTGGCAGATGTTGACAGCTGCATAGATGTCAGAGAGGCCCCTGTGGATCATGCTCCACGTGAGGTGCTGGACCACAGGGAAATGCTGCGGTGCTGTCAGAATACAGAACAAAAAATCCAGATCATTTTCTTTTCCTCTGTTTGTTTGGGGGTTTTGTTTTTTTTTCTCATCATCTCTCCATAATTTCCAATTTCACCTTTCTCTGCTCTCGGTCTGGAGCTGGATACTGATTTTGCCAGCATCTGATGCACTCCCAGCCATCATTTTCAAGATAGCCTGAGTATTTATGCACACACCATTACATTTGAAAGAAAATTTCAGTTGAACTTTTCAAGTTCTTCCTCTTCTCCCATTTCTCCTTTCTTTTCTCAAGAGGAAACTCATCTAGTTCATTTCTCTTCTTCACATGATCTAGCGCTTGCTTTTACTAGCATGAATACTCAAAAAAGCTTATTTTGCCAAAATGGGGCACTATTTACTCTATTCAGCTTTCCAGTTGGACATAAGATGGTAAATCTCAGATTTTCTTTATGCATTGGTTGCATCACAAGATACTAATCTCATAAACACAATCATCCAGAGCTTGCTTAGCTGGCCTTCTCACCAGGAATTTTAAGTATCAGAGACTCACTCCAACTCTCAGCAAGTGATGAATAGATCAGAAAACATACAGCAATATCCACTGATATCCACCCCCTTAACCTTGGGATGAAAGAATTCTTTTTGATTTCAAGGGCTGTTATTTCTTTTACTCTCCCTAATTAGCGATGGATGTGCTAAGGGCTGTACAACCAGCATGGTTTCCCCCAAGAAGATAACAAGCTTCAGGATGAACCTCAGTTGCTTACCCGTGCCGATTGCATAATAAAGACCTGCATAACTTGGTGCTGTTTTTAAAGGAAATAAAATCATCCATCGCACAAAAATATTTAACAGATTCTTACACTTTGGAAAATGTTCAGGTAGTCCTGAAATTTAGGATGCTTTGTTCAGAGAACAAATGATGGGAAATAGGAAATGCTCTCCAGCACGTGCCTCGTTTCCCAATGCACAAAGCTGCTCACTGAGCCAAGGAGCAGGAGCAATTCCAGATGATTTAATGTCCTAACCAAGCCGTCCACACAGCAATAATGAGAGGCGTAGTTAAAGAGCTCACTTCACTGGTGCTGCTTCAGCTGAACATTGTCTGCATTGAGGCACAAAGTGATGACAGGTGCTTTGCAAATCACTTGGAAGATTCATGGTCAGGCTGGGAAGGGTTCAGCCCAAAATGAGGTAAATGCACATATCTTACCTGCAGGGAATTATTCTCTTAGCTCAATAAAATGTCACAACACTGGTCTCAGGAGCCAGGATTGTAAATTCTCTCCCGCTGACCCATCATGATTTCTCTGTACCACCTGTAAGGTATAAAATAAAATTTAGTGGTGCATCCATGACTGATGAAGAAAGAGAAGACTCAGGGTGAGTTTTCAGAGTCACCATGTTGTGCTCAGAGCTTGTCTGTTGGTGCTTTACAAATCAGAATATTTTAGGTCCTGAGGTTGCCACTGTACCTGTGAAAACATCATCTGCTGCAAATGGCTATTTCATTCATATTTGGATTGCTTCCCTTACCAAAATTAATTATCAGCATAATCAACAAATCCTTAAAAAAATAAATCAAGCCAGGTCTCAAACAAATTGTGTTTTAGCTCACGCTTACTGTTCTGGGGTACTCCCTTATTATTATCCATTTAAAACAAATGAAGTATCTGTGGATGAAAAGCCCTGTACCATTAGAGTTGCATTATTATTGCACCATGCTTCTTAGCTTTGCTGCCTTCTCCTCCTCCTTTTTACACCACACTCTTGACTCGCTGCAGTCACAGCCACTGAAGAGGCTTGAGCTCCCACTGAGATGTTTTCCCTAAAGAGCAAGGCAGCATGCCAAATTTCAGCCCTCGGGTCTATTAATCACCGAGTGGCATATTGTAAGAAATTATAATGGGTACAGCCGTATCAAATAAAACTTTGCCATCTGATGAGTCCTCTTCGTGGGAAAGAAATTAATAACAGCAATGTAATAAAAGAGGTTTTCATATGTAGGGGGTTTCTTACTTAATGAAATAGCCATTTACTATTCTTGCCTGATGGTATTAATAAGTACTAGACCTCCCCAGAGAGGAATCGCTGGAAAATCCTCCCACAGCAAGACAAAAGTAGGGGAAAAGCAGCATGAAGAAAACTGCTTCTTTTATTTGCCGGTTCATTTTCACTGCTTACTCACCCAAAGCTGTACGTCCCTTTGCAGAAAGAGTTTGGCTTCGTTAATCTGTAAGCAAATCTGTTTACGAGCATGGGGAAAAGAGTAATTTCTTTCCTCCCCCCTACCCCACCCTCCCCAGTTTGAATTGCAGCCCCATTTACACACCCAATTACAGCTGTTGCTCATGAAAATGGGATAGTGAGCGTGCAGAGGAGCTTAATTATCCACGGGCGGATGTCATCCCTGGGGAGCTGTGAACAGGGTTTGCAATTGCAAATGCATACCCACGCAGTCTGGGAAACCATCTCCCACATCAGCGGCTTATAGAATAAATCTTTGCCATCGTACAGGACCACTAAATGTAAGCGAGGCATTCCCCTCCTGTCTCTGGACTTTAAATATCCTGCTTTGGAATAAAGCACTAATAGTCTTTGTGAGTGTTAATCCCAAATAGATGCTAATGATTGGCCTTTCATCTCTGTGTTCCCAGGTGAAGGAGGACTGGAAGTACGTGGCAATGGTCATTGACAGGATCTTCCTCTGGATGTTCATCATTGTGTGTTTGCTGGGAACTGTTGGTCTCTTCCTCCCACCGTGGCTGGCAGGAATGATCTAAAATACGGCCACATAAGGAACAAAGTATATTCCACTCTATTGATTTTAGTTTACCTGGAAGGAGAAGAGCAGAGAAATGGCAGCAGCCCTTTAAATAATTTACTGCGTGCCCGCGCTTGAGTTGCTCCAGAGCTCTCTGGGAATACTTTCCAAGGTCACATCATTTTGCCAAGCCATTTTCATCCCCTCCATCTAATTTCGGGGAAAGGTCTTATGAAATTTGTACATAGCATGGTGGCAGTCATTGACATATACTCGGCAATGTAAGAACACGAGCTTGTTCCCTAAAGCAGCACATAAAGAGGCTTCGCATCTACAAATCAGCCTCTGGCAAATTAGCTCCAGTCATCTTCGGAGGTCTCGGTGTGCCCTGCCTTGTGATTTTGCCCTGTCAAGCTGAAGTCCTTCAGGGCTGCGTGTCCCTGTATGAGTCATTTTATAAATAAAGTTCCAGATTTGGGATACCGGTGTAGGATGTGGTCTGTGGTCAGGTGGCAAGGATGGACAGACTGGAAAGGATGAAGGAACTGTGCAAGGTGGTTCAGCCCCTTTGGGACCAATGGTGAGCATTAGCTCACCAAAACACAATAGCTACAGTTTTTATATCGACAGAGTTACTTTGGCCAATGCCCTTCAGAAACCATGGGGATTGTAACTCAGTGAGGGTCATGCAAGCAAAGGGAGGATTTGAGGTTAAGATTCAGACTGTGTTGGTAGCGCTTTAGTCTGCTTTCAAGGGAAATTTCCTGCATCCAGGTTATAGCTGCTGCAAAATAGTGGAGGGACATCCTGAGGCAACAAACCCTTGCTGTGAGTAGGGAAGGTACCTAGAGATGGGGGAGCCACAGCAGAGATCCAGGACGGTGCATTAGTGTAAAAAGAAAGCGTGCCAGTAACTGGGGAAACCTGATCAGGATGCACAGCCACTCTTGGGAATTCAGAATAGCACTTTGCAGAAATTACAGGTATTATGGCCTTAAATTTGGCTGTTGTTTCAGCAACTGTGCTTTTCCCAGTTCTATCCAAACTAAACCAACCTTATTTGCACATCTTGTCCTTGCTTTGGGACCTGCAGTGAGAAGGAAGGGACAGGCACCACCAGACAGAGGAAGGGGGATGCTGGAGCCCTGTCCAGCATATTTTCATCATCTTCTTCATCTATTGCCTTTTCTCTGTATGCATTTGCAGCCGGAGCAGTGACCACGCTTGGACAGCCCGTAATCTCATCCAGTTCAGCATCCTTTCTGTTTGGTACTTACAGACCTACTGTTCCCATCCTCATTTCTGGTTGCTGGGTAGGATCAGTACAGCTGCACACAGTCCAGTGTCTCCCTGCTTACCTCAGAGGCAGAAGAACTTATAAATGGTTTATCACAGTGTTCAAGGAAAGGCAGACATAGTCTAAAAATACAGGCTTCCCCCAGGACCTGCTGTGTCTGCATGACTCAGGCTGGCAGCTGAGGGGGTCTGGGCTTCACCCAGCGTCTCTCCTGCACCCCACAGCTGGGATTGGCACACACAGGACTGGCCACCATGCAGTTTACTCTGGGTAGCCCAAAGCTTTGGACAACACACACCAGGAGAGGCAGCCAGCTGCCTGGAGACCACTGCACCCCGACACTTGCTCATGCCTCTTGGCTCAGTGAGCAGCAGAGAGCTGCACAGGCTTGTGACAGTAATGCTGGAACTGAAACAATGTGGTTTAAAGAGAATTCCTTGAAATACAAGTTACTGCACTCAGTCCAAGCAATGCAGGTTAAAAATCAATGCAGTGATCAGCCTGTTTGGCCACATTTAAGCAGCTACAGCTGACCTCCATGTTCACAGACTCAGCCAAGTGCTTAAAGTCTCAACAACTCACAAAAACATAGAGAAGCTGTGGTTTGGGCCAGTTCCACCAGGAGCTGTGCTGGCACTGGGTGGGGGGGGAGGATAAGGGCACCCGAGCTGCTGCTGTCTCTCTGCCTGTTTTCAGAATAAAGAGAGACTCAGTCTTTGGAGATGCTAATTTATCCCTTTTCACAGTCAGTGAGTTTGCTTACGGCAATGGAAGGAAAACAAACAGTCAAACATCTTCAAGGTCTAGTGCATAAATGTACGGGAACGCAGCTGCAGCCGTGCTGCTGTCTGTACTGCAGGCAGGCTGCGCTCACAGAGGTGGCCTGAACTCTTGCCAGTGCCTATTCACATTTCAAGTGCACCAATAAAATAATCATGAAGGTGGGATGATTTCTAACCCTGGGCATTGCTAGGTCATGGGCATCGTATCACCAGACTGCACTCGTGCCCGTGATGCTGTTCAGAGCTCCCGCTGCAGCCTCCTCCTCTTCCTCCTCTCCCTGAACCCAAGAGCACCAATAGTAATGGAGCAGGTGGGAGGCTTGGCTGTGCATAAAGATTTGGGGGTAACAGGAGAACTGAAAAAGGTTTGAGGACAGATTTAAGGGGCAAATATTTAAGGTGGCCCGTTGTGAAATTCAGTAGAGGGAGGGACAGGCTGTACTTGGGGTGAAGGAATCATCTCAGATCTACGCTTTTTCTGCAAAACAAAGCAACTGTCAGTGCACACGGTGTGAATGGCAGTGTCTCCAGGGGAGCATTGCACGGTGACAGCAATGGAACAGGGCTGCCTGGCAAAGAAACGAACTGCCCTGCTGCATCTGCTCCATTAGCACATCAAAAATATCGGGTGTGATTAGGAGTGCTAAGGATGCGGTTGTGTCCCTGAAGAGTCAGTGCCACTGCAGGATGACAAGGTTTGGGAGGACAAGATGAGGAGTGACAGCTGAAACTGGTTACAAAGGTGTTACTGGCATTGGGGGAGAAGCTGGGATAATGCAGGTCACTGGCATCCTCGACTTTGCTGGCATCATAACGTTTTTCATACAGCAACGACTCCATTTCCTCTCATGTAGCATTAATAGTTCCTCAGTTTAATATTCAAATAAAGTCTTGTCTTCTGCTTCTGATGTGCATCTTTGTAAAATATAAGTGGAGAAAATATAAGTCAACACCTAAAGCTCTTTCTGAGATATGTTATTCCATCCTGGAGCTTGTTAAGGAGGATGCTGTCTCTCCCCAGGATTCAACGAGAAGAAACTGGAATAAAACTGGGACATGAACCACACTATAGCTGTAGAATAATGAATAATTCTGCTATTCCAAACCCATGAAACACAAAGAGAGAGTTTTTTAGCATATGAAAGACTCCTGGAAATTGTAAGCAGCCAGGCTGTTAACATTCACAATGTTCCCAGCTCAGAGCTATTCCCAGAACTGGACTGAACAAGCTGACATCAGAAGAAGGGTAAGGAAGCAAGACTGGGGTATAGCAGGAGCTCTAAAACTGCCTTGGAAGAGACCCAGAGCAAAGTAACTGGTTTTCAGGATCTGAGAGTGTAAAACTGAGCTCAAAGACCCCAAGGGCATCACAGAAAGCAGCCTCATATGTTGATCTTTTCTGTTTTACTTATGGAGGAGAGATCATAACCTTACCATAGTGTTTCATGCTTTCCCACCAGTACAGCCCCATTGGATATGAGTGGAAGAAGACCAAAGGCACAGAAACCTAACTGTGATAACCTCAGGTACCACCAGTTTTCTGTTTTTCTCTGCATTCCCTTTCTTCTGGTTCCCTAATGCTCACTTTGGCTGGGTCATCTTCCCCGCCATGGGGCACACAGGGCATTTTATCTGCAGTTGCCTGGTAGAATGCTTGATGCAATCCCCATTTCCCCAGATGTTTTCTGGACTGTTTTCCACCGTATCACCACCTTCTCCAGTGAGCTAATCCACACAGCATGTATCACTTCCCTTCTGGATGAATTTCTCTTTAGGCATTTATCAAGAAACTGGGCTCGAGGAAATCCATTTGTGCTGTGACAACCAGACAGAAAGATGCATGTGTGAGATGTTAATTCCGATATAGTGCTAAGGGAAATCCTCCTGTAACACCCTCGCCTGGGCTCTCCCCCACTGCAGCAATGTCCATTTATAAGATCATTCATCCCCATACAGGATGTATTTTAGTTTCCAGCCCTTTAAATCTGGTTAAGCCAAGCTGTTGAGCCCTGGAGAAAGCCTTTACAGAGCAGCTTGTTAGCAGCATTGCTGGTTAGCCCTCCGTGCTTATTGTATCTTACTTCTGAGATGGATTTAAAACCTCTAAAATTATGCTTGTAGCAAAAAAAAAAAATCATCTGTCTCTGAAAGGTCCGGAGCCTCTGCAGGATCCAGCTGCACCAGATGGGTCAAACTCTGCGGCTGAGATAAAAATCCAAATTTATCACAGTTTAAGGGCTGGAGGACTGAAGTTTTAAAGAAACTGAAGATGTGATCTCACACTACACAGTGTGGAAAAGAAAGGCTTTGTGACACAGATTACTTAAGGGCAGTAACGAGAAGGAGCAAATCAGTACAAAGGATTTTAATAAGGACGTAACAGAAGGGGAGGTAAACAGGCACTGGTCTGCAAAAGTGAAGAAATTGTAGGAACTTGTGGGATTTCAAGTTTATGCACTGAAGCAAATTTCAGGCATATCCAGAAAACAGGTTTTAAATCCAGAAAAAATAATATCCAAACTTTTATTTGAAGTAATTAAAGCTTTGAGAGCAAAGTCCCTACTAAGTAAAGATCAGCAAGAGAAATTTTTAAACCGCGTTGCTAATGAATGACTCTGTTCTTAACCACAGTTTGCATTAAAAGTGATAAATTGGGGCAGAAAAGTACAAAGCGTGCTAAAGAACAGCACAAGAGGGAAAACAACAGGTTGTGTTCAGCAAAGAGCGTGGGATATTAATATTCACAAATGGCTCGGTTCTGTACTCGCCAACAGAGAAGGGAACTTGCAAATCCCTTAAATCTCCTGAACCTCCCTGCACCTCCACTTTTAGGGCTGCTGTGTTGTTCTGACTGCTGAAATCTTTTCTTTTTGCTGTTTAATGGATGCAATGTTCAGTGCTGGACTGGGACACCCTCAGTGCCTGAAATCTCCCAGCAGAAATGTTCTTAAGCTTCAAGAACCTGGGCTACAAAACACCTGCTTGGTGATACCAAGTGGAAACTCCATTCTTTCAAGAAAAAAACCAACCTAAAACACTCATGGGACAAAGTTTAGGAACATAAAAGGACAAGTTGTTTGTTCAGGTTGTCTGTCTCTTAATCAATAGCCCTTCTGGGACCCAATTTTGTTAAAGTCTGACCCTTTGTGTTGTAGCTGAAATAATCAGCCAAAAGCAAATGTCACATGAGAATCTACCAAATAGACTAAATCCCAAGGCAGACAGTGAGATGCTGAGAGTAACTTTGAAAGCAGTTGATAAAGAAAAATAAAGGAGCTCCGTCTCAAATCCCCTGCAGTTACACCAGCAAGTACAGAACTGGGAAAGTGGCTACACTGATTTAAATCAGAAAGGAAGCAGAATAACCTGCAAAATGCAGATGTTCCACACTGAACTGCTCA